CCCATCTCCGGCGATTTTCATAGCTCCTGCGATTCTCACACCTCCGGTGCTTTCGGTGTTCCATCTCCTTTCCCATATAAAGCTTCTATACGACGCAGATCTGGCGGTTTTCATAGCTCCAGCGTTTTTCACAATTTTGGCGTTCAATCTCCTTCGCCTAAGTCTCTTTTTCCAACAGGTAATTTCTTCACGATATCTATTTATTTTTCCTATTCCTATTCGATTCATGTATATTTTCTATGGGATTTGTATAGTGGCACTAATTTTATGACGAAGCTTGAAGAATGTGATTTCTAAGTTTCTAGTTTTCTAATGCGTATCAACTGTATGTGAAAATGTCTCAATAAAAATATTAAATGTATATTTTGTTTCCTCTTCTTTCTATCTAGTTTGATGTCGGTGAAGCTGATTAAGTATATTTTCAATAATGTTGGTGACGTTTGCTGAAATATATACAAGTAGTCATAGACTTCTTGTGTGTGCTTCATGTCCTGAGTTGGAGTGTTGTACGAGCTGTTGCCCAAATAATACAGTGTTTTGCAATGCTCAAACTATGAACTACTTGTTGTTTGATGGTTTAAAAATTGAAGTCGCAGGCACATCGTTTTGAACATAGAGTGTAGTACTGTAGTGCTTTAATATGTTTTTTTTCAAACAAGAAAACTAGTGTTCTAGCTCATTTGTTATCAAGTCTAACTTTTAAAACAAGGAAAATTAGTTCTAACTTTTAAATCTTTTAACCAAGTCTTTTGAAGTGATACTTTCCAAATAGAGTTAACTATTTTCATTTGTACTATAATTTAAAAATAGTTACGGTTTACCTAATTATTTTCTTTTTAACTAACTACTTTCAAGTCTCATTATGTCCATATGTCATTTTAGTATGTTAACAATATAGACATAGTTTCTTATTCTCTTATAGTCTTATGTTTTTATTTATACTACGTATATTTTTCTTTAATTAAAAAAACATACCTAACCTTGACTTTCCCCAAAAGGGGTTTCAGAAGCTTTCAAAGTACATCACCTAAGACTCTCTGATTGCATTTGGGTTGCAGAAAATGACATGAAAATGCAGGTGCAGAAATAGTACCATTGATCTTCCTTCTGTCCTCAAGAGGCATTATACTTATGTACTTAACATCACATTCATTGTCATGATCTTTTTTGTAGGTTTTACTCTTTCATGAAGTTGTTTCTACATTTTCCTCTCAGGTAGGGATGTAGTTAACAGTTCAGGGCATATTTGTATTTTTTCACTGAAATTCATGATTCATTGTTAGAAAAGACAGATCTGGTATTCTTACAGGTTCCAAACCTAAAAAACATATTGTATTAGATGGCCTGGTTATCTGTGGAAAGAGTATTGCTCTTACAGAGCTTATTCACCGGGCACGTGAAGAAATATGGTATCCCAATATACGGAGTATGTCCCAAGAGCCGAGAATGGACTCATGGAGGATTTTTCTATTCGTCTTATAAGTGCTTTATGGGATACTCCTGCTCAGCAACAAATATTCTCCAGGTAAGGGTGCAAATCCTCTGAAGAAGTTAATACAGAGTATTAATAATGTTACTAACGGTGTTTGTTTGTGTTCCACCATGAATCAGATTTCTTGTTTTCAATCTGAGGCAATTCCTTAGGGTTGCTACACTTCAATGGGATCTCTTATTGATTTTCCTAAAATATGTTTGTAAATTGTTAATGTTGGTTTTGTATATGATGTGTTTGTAAAAGTGTCATAAAAAGCTTTTCAATCCAAATAATTATTTGCTATGGTTGCTAATATTTTGAAATATTTGTTTTACAGATTAGGAAACCATTCATATGAAGAGGGAAGAATAACACCTGATCATGGATGATCTTGCTTTACACGGATGCCTCTAATGATCAGCAGTTTGTTAGGACTTAGGATTTAGAATTTTCTATGATATATGTATCTTTGTAGTTAATATGAAATGTTAGACTTGATAGATTGATTTGTGCAATGTACTTATGTACTAAAAATGTATAAAACGAGATATTTATTAATGATATGTATTTTTTTTATTAGTATTCTTAAATTGTGTGCACATTATTAAAGTTATACGACAATATAGCATGATAATTCTAACATTTGTTACATTTTTGTATAAAGTGTTACATTTGCCCAAGTAAAAAATTGTTACCTTTGTGATAATGGTTGTGGTAACCAAGGTTGTTAAAATCTCGATTTAAATCGTAAAATCGTACGATTTTACGATTCTACAATAATAAATCGATTCAAATCGCAGGTAAAATCGTAAAATCATAAAATCGTACAAAATCGTAACAAAAACGTACAAAAATCGTGTAGAATCGTATAAAATCGTATCAAAATCGTAGCAAAATTGGAATAAGTTTTTTTAGTGAAAATGGTTCAAATTTATTAAAATTAACTACTACAAATTGATACAAAATTTCAATAATAATAACATCAATAGTATATCTAAAAAAGTAATGGATTCTTGTGTTATTTAATTATTTTTATGTTTTACATATGTTTAATGTTATTATTCACTCTATGTACAATATAAAAATAGTTTATAAATCTTGTTTTTGACCTTGTAGGTACAGTGGTATGTAATAAAATGACATAATACCATTAACTTGCAACTTAATTTTAATATTTATTTATTTTATAATTATTAAAATATGTTTGATAAAATCTTACGATTTGCGATTCGATTTTACGATTCGATTTTCAAAAACATCTACCGATTCGATTCAAAAATACGATTTTAACAACCTTGGTGGTAACACTTCTGGTTAGTTTAGATAAGCGTTACAATTGACTCTAAAAATCGTTACATACCGTTACAATAGAGAAAAGGCAACGCCAGCGAATGTAACCCCAAGAAACTGTTACATTTAATAGAATGTAACACACTTTTGGACCAAAAGTAACAAATTTGAGTGTTACAAAAAGCCTTTAAATGTAGTAGTGAGTTGAGATTATTGTTAGCGGACCGGCAATAGTTGGGATTATTATTTTCAATTTTTCCTAATAATAATAATAATAATAATAATAATAACAACAATAACAACAACAACAACAACAACAACAACAATAATAATAATAATAATAATAATAACAACAACAACAATAATAATAATAATAACAATAATAATAATAATAAGAATAATAATAATACTAATAATAATAATATCAATAATAATATTAATTATACTAATTACAATAACAACAACAAGAATAATACATAGTAATAATTATAATTATTATAATTATTATAATTATTATAAATATTATTATAATTATTATTATTATAATAAAAAGGATAAATCATGTCTAAACTTTTCCGATCTGATCTGAATGTTCCTGATCTGATCTGAATGTTCCTGATCTGATCTGAATGTTTCTGATCTGATCTGAATCTTTCTGATCTGATCTGAATGATTCTGATCTGATCTGAATCTTTTTGATTTGATCTGAATAAAATAAGAATAAATAATAAGTAATAAGATTAAGACGAACAGAACAACACTTTATTCGGGTCGGCGTGTAAGGCGCCTGAAGTAGGCCATTCCACTTTTGAGTTGTGGTTTAATAATTAATTAATTTATGTGTTTTAAATTTCAACGGTTGTCCACCCTTGCATGCACTCAAGATCTCATAGATGAATTACGAACTTTTTCTTGGGATTGAGATTTTTTGCCTGATTTGGTCTAATTAATTAGCGTGAATTGGCCTGGTCTAGTAAGTGTCTGATCTCTGTGTATTTTACAACTGTCGAAGCTTGGGTTGATCTCAGGGGCGGATCCAGGAATCTGAGACGCACTGGGCTGAATAGGAATTATACTAGGGTCAAATATCAACGGGGTGGGCTAATTGTGAAAAATGAAAAAATTTACACTAAAAAAATTGAAAAATTTCTAAGTTGCCCTGGGCTTCAGCCTACCATAGCCTGTACATAGATCCTCCCCTGGTTGACCTGATCTGACCTGATCTGGTCTAAATTAGCCTGGTATAGTTTTATCTGATTTGATGCTTTGATATGATGTTATGGTCTTGTCTGAGATTGAATAAGTCCAAGTAAACACATCCGTAGTCACTGATACGTACCTACAACTTAGGTAGGTAGGCCAAATGTGGATCGTTAAGGATGTTTTTTATTGAATTTAAAATTTCTGATCGCTATGTTTAAGTCTAGCCTAGCCTGATTGATAAATATTCAGTCTCTGTGTATGTTATAACTGTTGAAGTCTAGTGTGATCTGTTTAAATATGCTACTCTCTTTGTTCATTAAAACTTTGCCATCTTTCTTTTTTGGGACGTTCCATAAAACTTTGTCAATTTCCCGGCCTATTAATCAATTATTTTGTGGTTTCAATTATTTCTCTCTCCTTCGCCCAAACCCCAACCACAAAGTTTTTACTTTATTATTTTTATTCTCCGTGCCGGTCAAATTTGATAGAGTTGTAAGGGACGAATGTAGTATAATTATAATTTAGTCTGATCTGTTTAATTAAATCTGATCTTTTACGATCTGGTCAAATCTGGTCTTGTTTTGGACTAAATATAGTTGAGATAAATACATCATTCTAATTTTCATATACTGTGTATATTCAATACACACACAACATGGTGAAATTTTTGAAACGTTCAAATTCAATATTCCGATCATGCACAAAGCCACAATTATGGCATTATATTCTCGATATGATGTCATTGAAACGAAAAGCTACATTCGTTGAAATCACATATATACTTTATTTTATATTGGAACAATAGAAGTACTTCGTATGACTTAAATTCTTTAAATAGGGTAGCTTTCTAATCATACACTTGCTATATTTTAATAAAATTCAAATTTGAGAGAATCGTTGAAATATGAGTAAACATGTTTTGGATTCGAAAATAGAATTGACGTTTTGCAATAAGTTGTTTCTAGCTAAAAAGAAAAAAAATAGTTATACACTTTTTATCTACCCACCACTACACAATCTATTTTGTGTGAGGGAAAAAAATATATATAGGTATCAACGACCACCTCGATCACAGTCCAACACCATCACATATGGTCACCAGAAAAAAATGATACTGCGATGACAACTTTGAACAGAAAGCTAGATATTTTCAAATAGTAAAAATGTTATCCTCATTACATTTTCAGAGAAATGCTACAGTTTTTTACACAAAATATCACTTTTTATATTTATATCATAATTAAATAAAACTATGATTTTCTCATTAATAAAAGAAATGCACTAAGGGGTAGAATGGAAAGGACATACATGATTGTTATGTTGGGCACGACGACTATATATATATATATACATATACATGCAAGTACGTTGGATGGATATGATGAGGTCGAGAATGAGGAGTGAGGCGGAGAAGAAGAAGAAGGTTGCACTGTTGGAGCTGCTGTTTTCATTTGCGGACGGTGTGGACGTGGGTTTGATGGTCCTGGGCACGCTCGGAGCCGTCGCCAATGGCCTCTCCACCCCGCTCATGACCCTCCTCTTCGCTCAACTCATCCACACTTTTGCCACTATTCATCCTTCCCTTCTTCTTCATCACATCTCCCAGGTATACATATATGCATCTTCTCCATCACTGGATTCATTGATCGATTATTATTTACTCCTACCATATATTGTTACTACCGGCCCGGCCGGCCCCAATCTATAACTGATCGGTTTTCAAGTTGCACACTCACTCAATTAAACCAAAGTCTAGAATTAATTCACAAACACTCCATCTTTTTCTAACTTCCCATTTTTGTTTATGAATGTCACTAAATAAAGTCATTTATTTATTTCAATTTACTCTACTATCCTTAAATAATAATGACAAATTTACCCTCTTAACATGCAAAATAGGGTTAAACAAACATGTCAAAACAATTAAAATTTACCTCTAAGTAAAAGGAATATTTCAAGATGTCAAATAATATACTCCCTCCGTCCCTAAATGTTGTTCCAATTGCGGATTACGAAGGTTGACCGACGATAAAGTTATATGATCCCTGTGAAAACTCGGATTATTTTTAGTGAATAAAATTTACATATTCAGAAACTACATTAAACCCGCTACAAAGCCTGCAAAAAACAATTCAACTTTTATAAAATTTTGATATAAAAAGTAAGAGTTTAAGAGTGATTTAAGTTGACCCTCGATAAGCGAAATGGAACTTCTTTTAGGGACGGAGGGAGTACATGCAATTCAAAGCGCGATTTATATTATGGGAGAGGTAGTATTTCAAAACGTCTTATTAATAATTGAGTCACTTTTATTTCTTATCCCTCTTGAATTTGTGATAATGTGATTCCTTTTGCATTTCTCTAGTTTAATTAGATTTCAATGGTTATACAATTTTATACACCCAGCATATTTTAATGTTTAAAACATGGAAAAAACTGTTTGAACAAGTCATTTAATGCATGTTTAAGCGTGTTCACCTCTAATTGTCTGTGTACACAAGCGATTCATTAGAAAATTGAGAATTTTTAAACCAATTGTCTGTCTGCACTTTTAAACTGTGCCTTGTACACTTAGAATAGTGAAACTTATTAATGAAAAATTGATCAAGTAGTTTTTTTTTTTTTGAAAGAATTGATCAAGTAGTAGTTGAAAACGGTGAAAGTCATACGGAGTAGGTGTTAAGGGTTTAAATAATTTCATAAATAAAATCAAAAAAGAGAAGTGAAGCAAATATTTAAATGGTGATCATATCAATACTAAAATCTGGATAGTATATCGATCTTTATCTAGGGGCCCGAAAATGTGAGTTAAACTGGGATAAAAAAAATTACACTAACCTCAAACATTAGTATGGTGGGTAAAATATAAAAAATAAAGAAATTACACTACAAAATTAAATAAGCTAGATCTCTTTGCGTGATTCAATTTTATATTGTTTTGAGTTAGAGTAGTAAATGCTCCGTATGATTAGCGTCATATAGAATGCTTGGCACTAATTAAAAGTCTGACTAACCACCTCAATTTTACTGACCGTTGGTTTGTTTGCTTATTTATTTATTATTATATTAATGGTTGACTATGGTTATGCATCGTCTAAAATAGCTAGGAATCGATCGATTAATGGATTGTTTTAACTTTCCAAGTGGGAAGCATGAGCAATTATCGTGCGGTGGAGATTTATTGGACAACAGTTTTAGTTATCATATCAGCGGTTTATGCAATTTCTACGGAGGAAAATGACATTTTTCTTTATTATATTCATTCAAGCTTAGCTTGATGGTGAAATTGGTCGGCAATAATAACTTTAGAAGATCGAATCCGAACTTTCTTTTACACCAAATCTAACACGATGATATCATATTTGACGTGCACTTCTAGTTTGTATCCTCAAGTTTGTTTAATTTGGAATTATACTATTGATCCAAAAAGGTGAAATCTCTCACCCACGAGCCACACACCCTGACTCGACAGGATAGTGAATGAGTAAGTCACAGTGGCTCAGTTAGCAAAGTGGCAGTAGGTCATACACCCGTGCGCGCCAGAGGTCCAGCCTTATTTCAGGTTTTGTAACCTCCACCCGGTCACTGCAGGGATTCGAACCTTAGTCTATTGATCCAAATTTCCCACCACTCGACCAACTGAGCTACCCGTGCGGGTAATTTGGAATTATACCAAATACTACGTATAAGTATTTGGTATCCTCGTCCACTAAAATAGTTCGTCACGGCCGGGCCGGCAATAGTTAAATAAGTGTATCCATATGATCTGGACACATAGGTAACAATATCTTTAATGGGCATATGGATCGTACCTTTTTTGTGAAAGTAAAACTTATATTAAATCAAACCATCCAAAACAATAACAATATCCCAAGAACTAAATCCCCCTCTATCCATCTGAAACCAAAGCCCATCGGCCCCCTCACGTTATGACCATACATAGAATAGTCCACCCTAGCAAAGAGGCTATTAGCGGCTGTATCACCCTGATTGCCTCCAACCCTTAATCTACCTATTTCTCTTCCTATGCCTCCATTTCTCCTCCATTTCTTTTTCTCTTCCTATCTCTCTTTACCTTTTTCTCAATCTTACTCACTAACATACCCCACACTCATTTTTCTCCTCTCCATCTCTCTCCAAATGGACCTCTCCAGTCACTGGAGAGGATCCAAATTCCAAAAATAATGCATGCAATAATTCCAATGATCTTCCCGTGCTTGACATTCCTTGCATATGAAGTTTGACAGCTTATGTCACATATTACTCCCCTCAAACTGGAGTGTGTAAGTCCCGCACACCCAGCTTGGAATGAAGATACTGAAATTGCTCACTCCCAAGAGCTTTAGTAAACACGTCTCCTACTTGATGTTGAGTGGGAATACTCCTGTAAGATGTCATGACTGGTGACACACTCACAAACAAAGTAGCAACAATCCATTTCAACATGTGTGATGTGTTCATGATATACATGATTAGTGGCAATATGGCGAGCAGACTGATTGTCACAAAATAACGGCGTGGGTTTAGTGGACGTTATCCCAAAATCACGTAGTAGCCAACGCAACCAAATGATCTCACTAACAATAATGACCATGAAGCGGCACTCTGCTTCAGCAGATGAACGGGACACCACCGTGTTTTTTGTACGTCATGATATGGGCAATCCTCCCAATGTTATGAAGTAGCCCGAAGTAGAACGTCGAGTGAACAAACAACCTACCCAATCGGCATCGCAGAATCCCTCCAGAGAAAAATCGAATTTTGCTGCCAGAAAGATGCCCAAACTTGGTGTAAAATGATAGGCCTTGATATAATATTACCAACACTCATAATCGGTAAGGTACTAAGTATCATTTGCTACTCGGACCTTCTTGGCGCGCCACCAAAGTTACTATGCGCACCGATTTTTTGTCAAAGTTGGACAAGAATGTCCTGACTCACGTGTAGTGGCGGAGCCACCCTTTGGCCAGTGGTGTCAATTGACATCACTGGAATTCTTTTTATTCATATGTAGGTATATAAAAAAAATTTAAAATTTACAATTGACACCATTGAAAAATAAAAATTCTCTATATAGATATAGATAATCTTTCATAAATTATAAATTGACACCATCCAACATTTAAAAAAATGGGGGTCAATTTAAAAATTTTAAAAGTTGGAACACCAAATTGAAAAGTCAGCAAAGGAGTCAAGGAGAATTGAAAAGTCTATGCCCAAATGGCTGATTGAACGCCAACTCCCGCTGCAAAAAGAAAAAAACGATGGAACGCCGTAAGTCGTAGTCCCAATTCCCAAATCGTTGAAATCGGAAACCCTCGGTCGGCGTTCGCAGGTCGCTCCACCTGTCCTCTTGCTCAAAAATTGGTGGAGACAAAGAAACATATTGTGTATCCATTAGTTTTTTTACTTGTGAAATTAGCTTTGCTTTTACCAGTGGCCACCGCAACTGTGGAAAGAGCCTTCTCAGCCATGAAGTTCGTGAAGAACAGGGGGCGGGCACAGGAATGGTTCGGCCAGCTGAAGCCGAGCACCATCGACTCATACGAACAGCTTTCCCGGCAGTTCATGGCTCAATTTGCTGCCAGTACCACCCCCAGGAAGGACGTCACGGCTCTCACCCACATCAAACAAGGGCGGGACGAACCGCTGGCTAGGTTCCTGGTAAGGTGGAGGGACGAGGTCCTGCAGGTCGATGATCTGGACGAACGTCTGGCCACGAACATGTTCACCAGTGCACTGGCCACAGGGGATCTGTACCGGGACCTAAGGAGAAACCCCGGCACCAGCTACACCGAGGTTCTGGCTCGGGCCCAGAAGTATGCCTCCATTGAGGAGGAGATCAGGCAGCGGGACGGAGTTCCCGCGGCCCACCCACGGAAGATGGCGGACAGGCTCGGACCCAGACCGGGGCCCGGGCCCTCCCCCCAAACAAAAAGAAGAAGGCGGACGGGGCGATGGTCCCTTGGAAGGCCCCGCCCGGAGATATTCAAGCGCGGCCGGACGACCGCTATGCCCCATTGGCCTATCCAGTGAGCCAAATCTTTGAGGCCATCAAGGATAAGGGCCTCCTGACGGAACCCCAAGATATGAAGAAGCATATGGGGCTTGACCAATCGGCCTACTGTGAATACCATCAGAGGGTCGGCCACCTGACGGACAATTGCAGCCAACTAAAGAAAGCAATCGACGAGCTGATCCGTCAGGGGTACTTGGGCGAGTTCACCCAGCTGCTGAACAAGAACAGCCAACAGAAGCCGAATCCAAGGCCCCGGACGTGGCGCCGCGACGACCGGCGCGAGGCAGAACCTCAGGACGTGGATTATCGAAGTGTGGATAAACGTCCGGAGGGGTCCCTTGGCCCGAAGGGCAAAAAGAAGAAGATGGAGATCAAGGTTATCTTCGGGGGCGCTGAGACAGGGGATACACCCGCCGAGCGGAAAAAATTTGAAAGATCACTCTACGTGGGTTCCGTATCAGCACCCCCCACCAAGCGCAACAAGATCGAGGCAATCACTTTTGGGCCCGCCGATCTGCCGATGTCACCAGCGCCGCACAGAGACGAGCTGGTGATCAGCATGGACGTGAACGATGCCATCGTCCGCC